GAAGTCTCCTTTCATGGTTGAACCCTTGCTTTTTCCTCTCATTGTCTTTTTCGTTTATTCTTTTTATATACCCATCTGAGTTTTATCGTTTACTTCTCTCTATGCGATCCTAATTTTTTGAGTTTCATGAGAATTTTGTGTAACTGTTATTGCAGGAACTAAGAAGAACCAGTGAAGGGCAACCGATGGAGGCCCTTGATGATCCAAAAGTAATGGAAACTGAACATGGAGACTCTCGTGTTAGTTTCTTTGCAGCCCTGCTCTCCGTTCCTCTAGTTATTGTTTTTAATCACAAGTTATCGGTTCGTAATATTGATTGAATTTCCTTCTTCTTGAGTTCTCCTTCGAAGAATGTTATGTTGTCTTACACGATCACTGTGCATTTAGGTTTACTACTTGTTATATACTGTCATTGTCTTCTGATTCTGTTAAACACTCATTAGTGGTGAAAAATTCGAGGAATTTTCTGTAGTCTATTGTTGCTATTTTCTGTACTCTATTTTTTCTGATTCTGGGATTAATGATTTTAATTCAAGTACTTTAAATTTTCCATTTTCTTGTTAGTTTCAATTTAGTTTTGATTGAGTACTTGACTTGGATTAATATAATTGGCTGTAACCATGGCCAAATATAGAACTATTGTTGATGTTGAGATTAGTCTAAGGGATATTTTCTGAGGTTGATTTCACAAGTTAAGCTGAAAATCTAGCAGCTTATAGATTTCTACTTTTTCTCAAAAATTGTATTTTTGTGTGTGTTGAGATCAGTCTAAAGGTATACGGCCGATGTTAATTCATAAATTAAGCAGAAAATCTGGTAGCTTGTACCTGTTGAGCTCCACTGTTTTCTTAACAGTTCTTTTGCAAAATTTTATGGGAGTTGCAGCTGTTAATAGTCATTTGGACTTTAAATTGGCAGCTTTCTTAAAAGTAAGTAGTGTTTTATTTGGAAAAAAAAATGAGAATTTAAAAGTTTAAATTGGAATGTTGAAGTGGCCAAAAGAAGTAGTGTTTTCTTAACAGTTCTATTGCAAAACTTTAAGGAAGTTGCAACTGTTAATAGTCATTTGGACTTTAAATTGGCAACTTTCTTAAAAATAAGTAATGTTTCATTTGGGAAAAAAACAATGAGAATTTAAAATTTTAAATTGGATTGTTGAAGTGGCATAAGCATTTATGGTTTGGAGGATATTCATTATTGATTATTTGGCGGCTGTGCTTTCATTCTCTATTTTACGTAGGACTTGGCCAGTTGTTTATGTTTTCGGTTTTCCTCTATTTTTATTTTTTGTCGGATAAATTGTCCATCCTGTTGTACTTTTTCTCTCTATTTTTCTAATAATACTTCTCTTAAAAAATAATATTTATTAACGTTCTAATCTTTTCTTTTTGTTGATAGAAAATATATATTTCTAACTTATCCATTATTTTTTCTATTTTGAGCCAGATGCTAGATAAAGTAAAAAGGTTTCGGTTTTGTTCTTCATTGAAAGTTTTTGAACTTGAGACTTGGAATAAGCTCTTTTTCCTGGCTATTTACACGCCACACATGTGAAGCAGTGGTCGAAATAGATAACTACAACCTGTTCTTGCACATGGCTATTCTGGTATCCCTAAGTCTGTTTCTTACCATTCTGTACACAAAATATTTCTACTGAAACTCAACCAAGATTTAGAGAAAAAATCCTTCATTTTAGTGCGTATTTGCAGTTTAATGCTCTAATTCATCATGCTTTTTTAAAGTGATAACAATTTTTATAATCATTGATACAAGACCAAACAACTTTTGATTAAAAGTGTTTTTAGTCAACAACTATTTTAGTAGTACTTTTAAAACACAGTAGAAGTTAGAGTCGTCCGAAATACTCACTTAAATTCTTCTAATGCCTTCTGGTCCTAATTCAAATGTTCTTTTGCTTCTTTTTGTCATTATAGTGCTTACCTCCAGGAAAACATTCAACCATCAATATTTAGAGTCTGTCATTGATGAATTTTTTACTTTTCGGAATGTTGATGCTAATAGCTTGGATTAATTTAATTTATTAGTTTCAATCCTTAATTGATCTTAAAGCTTTGCTTAGTGTTAGATAGATTGGTTGAAAAAGGTTGAAGCAGGCCTGAAAATAACCATTGGCCTAATTTGGTCCCCTTTGTATCTGGTAATGCCGTATTGTCTGTTAATGCCAAATAGTCAATCATACTTGTACACAAAATTCTAGCTTTCTAACTTATTACCTTAGACGGCAAACAGTTCAAGTGATTTAGAATGAACTGGTCTTTGTTGGGCTGGCATGTGGTATGAATTTAGACAAATTTGGTTGACAACACCTTTAACATGTGCAGAGACGAAAATTGGAGAATTTGAGAGCTACGATGATCCAGCTTGCACGTTCAAATCCTTCTATACCGTGCAATATGAAGCTCATTCAAGAAAACCTCTCGAGGCTTCCTTTGTCTCACATTCCCGACCACCCAACATATGCTGCTGTATTACTCTCTCCGGCAGTATTTGCATATGAAGTTAATACTTATTCATTTGTTATTATCTTGATTGTATTTCTGATTGTTCTGCATAGATGATATGGAGGGCGATTTCCGAGTTGAATGAGGATGGAGGATCCAGTGAGGAAGCAATATCAAGGTTCATTGAGGCAGAGTATAAGGATTTACCTTGTGCTCATGCAGGTCTATTGCATCATCATTTACAAAATCTTGTTGACAAAGAAGAAATAATCCGTGCTTCTACGAGCTGTTATAGGCTTCCTTCTGCAAATACTAATTCTCATTGTAAGGTAAAGAAGGGGCACAAGCAAGTGAGAAGGCATTCCAGGAGTAGGAAAATTGGTAGACGCAAGATTGAAGCAGAGAAGAATTTACTAATTGGAGTGGAGAATAAATCTGAAAGCAAAGAACAGAATGTAGAAGCTTTACCTCAATCTGAAGATCTTGAGGATGGCAATCCATTACAAAAATCGGCAATGGAATTAATTGAACCACATAAGAAAGAAGTTAATTGTGGACAAAGCCTGGTTGAAGAAAGGGAGGCTGGAGTTGTGACAGAGCAAAATCAAGCATGCAGAAGACAAGTTGAAGAGTTTGCTGGCCTAACACAAGGAGAAAGTATAGAAAATGAGCAAGAAGCAGAACGGACTGAAGAAGAGAACCCTACACATGTGAAAGGATTCAAGAGCTCTGATGAACAAAGAAAAGCAGAAGAACAGATGAAACAAATCAAAGAACAAGACCAACTTAAACGGTCAGGTGAACAGAATAAACATGGGATTATGGAAATGAATGAAGATAACTCTACACATGAGAAAGGATTCAGGAGCACCGAGGAACTAAGGAAAATGGAAGAACAACAAAGTAAAGCAATCAAGGAACAAGGCCAAGTTAAATTGATGGGTGAGCATGTTGAAGAAAGCAGTGAAAGAAATGAAACAGAATGGGGAAATAAAATGAGTAGAAAAAGATATCAGACCCAAGAAAAACAAAATCACCTGCAAAATGGATTGGATAAACAGCAAGTTGGTGTACCAAAGATGCACAGTAAAGAGCAGGATCAAGCAGAAGAGAACCATGAAGTAACTACGGTAGTATTTTTGGAAGAAGAGGAAGGCAATCTGATTCAAGAGCTGCGTTATGAAGAAAAAAATTTGAGGGAAGAAATTGAAATTGAAGATAAAAGTCAACCAGAAGATCTACAAATTAAAGATTTTGAAGAACAAGTGCAATCCTGGGAAATGCAAAATCAAGTGATTGAACAGAACGAAATGGAAGCTCAAATTGAAATAAGCAAACAGCAAAAAAGACTTCAGGAACAGCAACAGAAATTATACTCTGACATTCTTGACCTTAGGTGAGCCATTGTTATTATGAGCTCTCATTTATTTCTGTCCTGATGAAGTTATGATAATTCGAGAATTTCCTTTTTTGTGAATAATAGAAAAAT